CATACATACATACATACATACATACATACATACATACACACACACACACACATATATATATATATAGTGTATACACACACACACACACACACACACACACTATACTACTATATATATAGTAAAAAATTACAATGTTGCTATATTGTATGACTGAGTTACAGTTTTATCTTACAAATGAATTTCTGTTATTTTAAAGGTATCCAAAGATCTGCCTGAGAAAGAGAAAGAAATTGAATGTATGTTAAATAACTTGAATCAATTTGAACAACAGTTAAGTCAGCTAAGATTGTGGCTTACTCCCATCAAAGATCAATTGGTACTATACAATCAAGTGGATCAACCTAGAACTTTTGACATTAAGGTAATGTTTAATTTGGAAGCTTTTCTAAATATTTATCTATACATTGTGAAAATTAAAAATGAATTATTTTATTTATTTAAAAAGTAGTATAAGACACAATGATTCAGTCATAAATAGTTGTTTAGTTATTTAAATGTTATATAATTATCCATTTGTATTATTTGGTTATTTCATTTTTAAATATACATTTTAATCATGTTCCACTTCTATTAAGTATAATGAAATACAGAAAGTGAATTCACTTTATTTCACCTTATCCCAGCTAGACTAACTCACAAGTATATATGTTAATGCTTTTTAAAAATATTAAAAGTATTCATATATCCAATATAACCTTCAGATTTTTAAGCTAAATATCATGAAAAATGGATAATCTGTGAATTAGCCACAGATAAGCCAATTGTGGACCCACGGGAGAAGAGCCTAATGCTGAGAACGATTGAGGGCAAAAGAAGAAGAAGGAGATGACAGAAAATGAAGTGGCTGGAGTCATTGAAGCAGTTGGCATGAGCTTAATGGACTTCATTTTCCTTTTCCTTTCTCAAACATAATAACAAATGAAAAAAAATTATAGGGAAATACACTTGTAAAGATCATGAGGTACAATTGAACACAGTGCAGAATTAATTTTGTTCATTTTGTTTAATATCTGAGAAATAATTATCTTCTTGTTTAATTCAGCATAAATCTAATTTTTGAATAAACAGGAGAGATGCCTGGTAGTATATATTCCAACCAAGACAGAGTCATGGGTGATAAGATTCTACTTGCCTAATTATTTAAGTCCAAATGCATGGGAGAGGAAAAGAGGTGGCCTGTGTGCAGCTGTGCCTAGATAGCTGAGGCCTTCTAGGAATGGTGGTGCTGGGAGAAGAATGGGCCTCTTGGGAATACACCTGGTTCATGGCACGTTTACACGTGCTGGAGGGCAGCAAGCCTCCCAAGCCCTCCACACCCTTTGAGGTACTGCTCAACTTGACTATAATGGAGAGAGCTGGGATTGTGCTCATTCAGTGAGACAGTCTCTGAAAATTTGACATAATTGAATGGAATAAGAACATATATTTTTTATAATTTAAGAATAAAGATTTCAGTCTTTGTGCAAATGAAGACAAAAACTGCCCAAGAATGAATATCTTGGGTTTGTGACTCCTTTAGGAATTACATACATTTTCTGATCCTATAAAAACCAGAAGACTTTCAGACATCCATGTAGCTCAGACATGAGGGTGTTCTCGGAGTCTTTAAAAATATGTTTTTCCAAGCCTTAGGGTTGTGTGTGTGGGAGCTAATGGATAATTGTTTGATATATATAGTTTGTCTTGATATTTAGGTTCTTGTTTTAGCCTTTTTCACTGTAAGCCTACAGGGTTGTGCTAGAGTTGAGCAGCCTCTAAACATAATTTTTTTAAAAATTAGAACATATTTCTGTTTCCAATCCCTTAAGATGTCTGATTGTACCACCTTCTAACAGCAAGTATCAATTCATTATGTTGAAACCTTATTAAGAAGACTGTTTTTTATTTGTGTGTTTAATAGATGGAAGGTGGTTTGATATATGGGGGTTGTTAGATTATTTAACTAACTGTACTCTGGAGAACTATTAAGTTGTCATTAAAAAAAAGGAATAGAAGGAAAAATAAATTAATAACAGGATTGTAACCTTCCCCAGAAAATTTACATTGTCATTTCAACATGGAAGTTACATGAAATACATGAAACAGTACAGAAGTAAAAATTGAAATGACAGAATATAGATGTGAAAGATTATTTTACTGCTCTTTAATAATCTCTCAGTTTTTCCTGAAAAAAATGCTAATAAGTGAAAAATCAAACAATCTTCTGCAAATAATCAAATAAATTATTGAAATAAACTCAAAAAAATAGTTTGCTTTTCATATCTCTACCAATGGTAATATCCTTAAATTCTGTAAAACGAACACTCACTTATCTATTATTAGCTAAGAATCACCGAGACCAGAGGGGAGCTTCAGCTGGTTTGGACCAGTTCGGGCGAACAGATTGTTAAATTTTTGCCCAGTTCAGAGAACAAGCTAATCGTACCTCTGGCTGGCCCCACCCACCCCTCCTCTCCCAGTCACTCCTTATCTTGCTTCACATGCCTTGGCCATGGCATAGCAGCTGCTGTTCTCTGACTCCCTTGCTTGCTAGCTCACTTGCCTCAACCATGTGACCCCCGAGGCTCAGCCCACTTGCCTGCCTTTGGCACAGCCTCCCACGCAACCCAGCTACCTGCCTGTCTGGTGAGTCTTCCTTCACCTCTTTGCCAGCACGAATAGCCTGTTACAGGGCCTTCCTAGGGCTCTGTGATGAACCAGGGCACAGCACAGAGATAACAGAAATAGCTGGCAGTTCAAACCATCCCTTTATTGATCCAAATCTCCTCAAATGCTCCCACATTTCTGGCAAGTCCCAGAGCAGAGTGATAACAAACCCCCACACAAACCTCAAGCAGCCTCTGGCTGCAATTAGTCCAACCCAGTGCTGTCTGCACCAAGGCTGCACAGCAATAAATCCCAAATGTATTTGGCAAAACAAGAGCAAATCAAGGCGTTCAGGGAGCAAAAGATCCGGGTAATTAGTCCAGGATGCCGAAAGGAATGCAAGGATTCTTGGCAAGTTCAAACGTCGGCACGCAACACTTCAGGAACTCACAGTTCGTTCCCGATGAATGCCCCTCTCCACAGCATCTCCTTATGTCTCATTCTCCAGATGTGCCTGTTGAAGATGGGTGGGGCACTTTCCTTGCAAGTAGCCTGCTCCATTTGCGCTGATCACGCCTTCTCTGCACTCTCTGAACCCTTGCATCAGAAGGGGGTTCTTACTCCTTGTCTGAACTCTGTCTTCCCTGTTCATCCTGCCTCTGTTCCTCCCTACCTGCAGGCCTAACTAATTGCAAAAATTCTTGCCTAGTCTGACTCTGCCCTTCCCCAGTTTCCTCCAAGGCCAAGAGAGCTACCCTCTCACTTGTTGTCAGTTCTTGTGCTGGCTCATCTTCTGCCGTAGATACAGACTCTGGTGCAGAGGTGGGTTCCTACCAGTTCGCACCTATTCGGTAGAACTGGTTCGTCAAATCTACCGAACTAGTTAGAAGAGGTTCCACCAGTGGACCCGGAAAGCAGGCCACATCTACAGAAGAGGTTCCAAATTTTTTTGAAACCCACCACTGCTCTGGTGGGAGCATAACAAGCTCCCCTGGCCTGCAGGCTGAAATGGAGGGTCCCTGGGCCTGATCTGCCCTTCCAGGCCCCATCCAGGCTTTCCCAGGACTCCCCTGGACTGTTACAGTCTGAAATGTAAGTTGCTAAAAACTGATGGGATCTTATGTCCTTGCTTAGTCTAGTCACCAAAATATCCCAATTTCCTGGATTAATTTAAGGATAAATTAACCAAATAGCCAAGAATTGCTTCCTCTTTATAGCAAAATTTATTTAGTTTTAAAGTAATCTCATTTATCCAGTTTTAACTAAACAATTTAACCTAAAACTGGTCAAGATACAATGCTAATCCAGTTTTGTTTATCTCATGCATGCAAAGCCTTTTTTTCTGCAGCTGTTAAGATTTTTTCTTTTTGGGAGACGAAAAGAAGTTGCTGTGGAGATACTGAGATACCTTCTAAGGGACTGGGAGTAGAGGTAGTACCTTCTTCAGAGATGAAGAAGGCACAAATTATAACAGTAAATTACAAACTATAAACTTGAGTAAAGAGACTTTTATTCTGAAATGGAGTGATTTATGCTCAGTAGGAGTAGGAGGATAGAGGAAATAGTTTTCACTTATTTAATGCTTCTCTATAATTATTTAACTGAAAATCTAACCAAAACTTGGGTCTGATAGTTTATTATGAAAAAGAGAGGAAGAAAACTGATTCTTATCTTATATAGATTTTCATACCTATTTTAAAGTAAGTTTTAAAAATGTGTTTGAACCTTAAACTTCAGTGTCTCAGTTGACTGATACAATGAAAAATATATTATAATTCTACACTGAGCACATTTTAGATAAGTTTAGCAACAGCAGACTTCTCTTCTCTTCCACTAAAGCTTTGTTAAGATTCAAAGTTGTGGCCCTAATCATATAAAAGCAATATTATACTTTTGAGCTTAACAACAGCATTCCAGGCTCTGTCTATATTGCTTAACCTTTGTAATTATCTTTGCAGAACTATTAAGTTCTTAGTCTGATTTTAAGGTCATTGCTTGATGACATCGAACAATTGTAATGTTTTGCTCCATTCTATCTTTGTATGGTTTGTTCATTTTATAAATACTCTCAACTTTCTAAAAGACTCTTGCAGATAATCCATATCCTAAATAGATCCTTAGTATGAATTCATGTATTTCTGTTTTCTTTTTATTTGAAATGAAATGAGATTAAATAAAATAATCTTTATTATCACTTTTTCTGTGTATAGACTGGCACATATTAAAAATGAAATTCTGATGCCTGCTTTCAAAAGAAAATTGGCAATGCCAAAGAATGCTCAAACTACTGCACCATTGCACTCATTTCACATGCTAGTAAAGATATGCTCAAAATCCTACAAGCAAGGCTCCAGCAGTATGTGGATTGATAACTACCAGAAGTACAGGCAGGATTTCGAAAACGCAGAGGAACCAGAGATAAAATTGCCAACATACGCAATGGAGAAAGCTAGGGTGTGCCAGGAAAACATCTACTTCTGCTTCATTGACTATGCTAAAGTCTTTGATTGCATGGATCACAAATTGTGCAAGTTCTTAAAGAGATGGGAGTACCAGACCATCTTATTTATCTCTTGAGAAACCTATATGCGGCTCAAGAAGCAACAGTGAGAACTGGATATGGAACCACTGATTGGTTCAACATTGAGAAAGGAGTCCAGCAAGGCTGTATATTGTTACCCTGCCTATTTAATTTATATGCAGAGCACATCATGAGAAAGACGGGGCTAGACGAATCAAATGTTGGAATTAAGATTGCCTGGAGAAATATCAACCATCTCAGATATGCAGATGATACCACTCTAATGATAAGAGGAACTAAAAAGCCTCTCGATGCGAGTGAAGAAGAAGAGTACAAAAGTTGGCTTGAAACTCAACATTAAGAAAACTAAGATCATGGCATCCAGCCCTCTCAATTAATGGCAAATAGATGGGGAAGAAATGGAAGTAGTGACAGATTTTATTTTCCTAGGTTCTAAGATGGGGACTGCAGCCATGAAATTAAAAGATGCTTGCTCCTGGGGAGGAAAGCTATGGCAGATCTAGACAGCATACAAAAAAGTATGTATGGCTGTGAAAGTTGGACCATACGAAAGGCTGAGCACCAAAGAATTTAGGCATTTAAACTATCGTGCTGGAGAAGATTCCTGAAAATCCCTTGGATCCCCTGTCAGTCCTAGAGGAGATCAATCCTGACTGCTTTAGAAAGCCAGATCCTGAAGATGAAACTCAAATACTTTGGTCACCAAATGAGAAGGAAGGACTCATTGGAGAAGACCCTAATGCTACAAAAGATTGAGGGGAAAAGAAGAAGGAGACAGAGAATGAGGTGGCTGCATGGAGTCACTGAAGCAGTAGGCATGAGCTTATTCCAGACTCCAGAGGATGGTAGAGGACAGGAAGGCCTGGAGGAATGTTGTCCATGGGTTCACGATGGGTCGGACACGACTTTGCAAATAACAACAAATTACAGAATCTAGTTGTTATGCTTCAGATATCATGAACCCTCCTCCTAGGAGGTAACAAAGAGAACTAGCCATGGAGAAGATATGTAGTGTCTCAGTTAATACTGTGGACCTTGATCAAGCAGAGCTTATATGCAATATCTTGTATAGAAGGAAGTGAACTTCCAACAATCTTTTCTGCCATCCTCATCACTCTCTGCACAGCCTTCCTGTCAAAAACAGTAATATAGACATATATTGTTCTTTGAATATTGACACATACTGAAAGGAATATTTATAAGAACAATATGAAACTGATTGTCCCCTCAGGAAATATCTCAGAATTAAAAACAATATGTTTTTAGCTAAGAAAATATTAGTGATAGTAGTGGCTGATGTCAGAGTCTCTTTATGGTTTAATACCCTGTTTCCCTGAAAATAAGACCTCCCAGGATAATAAGCCAAATCAGGCTTTTCAATGCATGCACTAAAATAAGCCCTCCCCCCAAAATAAGCCCTCCCCCAAAATATTGCAACACAGCAGCAGCCATGAGGTGACCACACTCACCTCCTGCACATCAAAAATAATAAGACCTCCCCGAAAATAAGGCCAATCACTTACTTCAGGTGTCAAAAGAAAATAAGACCCTGTCTTCGGGGAAACACGGTAACTTTTTCACTCTGACAAGTCAGTTTTATGCAATATTATTTTAAATATAACTTATTTCCTGTATAAATTTTATTTTTATTTCTGTAATATTCAGTCACTGACACATAGGGACTGTTGTTGCTTCAATTTTTTCAAAAAATGTTTTTTTGCTAAACATTTTTGATTACTACTTATAATAAGAAAATAATCTATTCAGAATACAAGTTCCTGGGGAATTTTAAACTATGGTTTTTTTATTGTTCAGAATAGAGCTAATATACACTGCTTTTATTTTTGCTTTTTCAGGAAATTGAAGCAACTGTAAAATCTAAACAGCCAGATGTGGAAGGAATTTTGTCTAAAGGATATCATTTATATAAAGAAAAACTAGCTACTCAACCAGTAACGGTAATGAAACAACCTTAGTAATACTCATTATTGCATGATAGATTATACTTCTCCTGTTGCAAACTTGTCCTTGATGTGATCTGTTTGAAACTATTAAAAATCCAGAGCCCAAGACACTACAAAGAAATAAAAATTATGTTTTCTGTTAAAATTATTTATTAATTTCTTAAATTAAGAACTTTGGTGGGTTCAAAAGTAGTTTTAGCTAAAATTCTATAACATGATCACAGAAGACAAACAAAATGATATTAATACTCTGTGGATACTCTGTGAGACAAATAGGAAATAATTATATTGATATATTAGGGAATTTAGGAAGGAAAAGAGATATCCTTTCTGTTTATATTCATATCTTTTGCTTCCTAAATTTCTTCATATGCCAATAAACAAAAACAGTGAGTTATGGAAAGGGGAAAAAGTAAAGGTCATATTTTTGTATCACAACCATTGCCAAATTTATTTTCTTTTGTGGCCCTTCTGTTCCATTCTAATAGTATCAAACAACAAAAGTCTGCATGGAGTCTTTGTTCTGCATGTACAAAGTAAAAATAGTCTTGCACACAAGATTTAATATTTTACTCCAGGTTTCGATAAATGAAAGATTAAAAAACATTAAGTAGTATTTTATGTAATGCTACTATTCAGTCAGTTATAAGTATCTTATTCCACTATTATCTTTACTTTACTTGTACACAAAATTTATATTCCTGGATACAGAATCCTGTGCAAAATAATTGCAGAGATAATATAAACAGTTTTGAAACTGAATAGAATGGCTTGTAATGCCATTCGAGACTTGCACAAATACAGTATGTTGGATTGCCTTCTATTGATATTGTAGCATTGAAGTTTGTACCTTAGATTACATTAGATGATAAACTATTTCAACTCAGTGATTCTACCTGAACATTGAACTACTAATCACCAAATGAGTTTTGAATGCTATTTTAGAAATTAAAAGCAATAATTATAAAAGTGAAACATTTATCTTAAAATGCTAGATCTTTATGAAACTTTTAATAATAGGCTTAAATTTTTATTTATTTTTTGCTTTTAGAAAAAATTGGAGGACTTAAACACTGACTGGAAAACAGTAAATTGTTTAATCCAATCTTTAAAAGAAAAGCCAAAGTCTGCACTTCCAGTTGTCCCTTTGGGGGATGGTAAGTACCTAGTAATTTAAAATGTTCACAGGTAAAAGTTAACCCAGAGTATTAAAGTTAATGTTGCTGTAACTATAATAACAATAATAACTCTGACACCTTAGTATGCTCCACAGCATTACCGTATTGGGTATACAGAAAATATTTTACACGATCGGAGGCTTACACGATCGGAG